AGACCCCTTCCCTATATACCCGGAGACCCCTTCCCTATACCCGGAGATCCCTTCTCCATACCCAGAGACCCTGTCCTGAAGCCTCGGTATCGCCCTCATCCCCTCCCCCTTTCCCAGGTGCCCCCGCCACGTCCAGTCGGTCGCCCAGATCTGTCCATTCCATCCGACAACCTTGCATCTGTCACTTCTCTCCACCTGCTAGCCCACCAACCTGAGTTAGAGTAGCAGGCCTCCAGGCTTGCTCTCCATCCAGGACATGTACATGGGGCAATCAGAGAGCTACTCTAAAATTTCACCTTGACCGCTCTAGTCTCCTACTTGAACCTTTCATGGTTTCCCATTGCCTTCGGGATAAAAGTCCCTAAATTCTTGCAGGATCCTCGGTATCAGCACAGAGCCCGTCTCGGGGCTCGAACCCACGCACCGTGAGACCGTGACCTGAGCAAAAAAATAGTCGGGCGCTTAACCGACTGAGCCGCCCAGATGCCCCGCAATTCTGTATTCTCCCCACCACGTCCAATACCTGGTTGGCCCTCGGGCACAAGAAAATATTGCTAAATCTCCAAGAGTATTAGAGTTTACCTCCAGATTCTTTCTCCCCAGATCTGACCTTTTCCATTTGCACTTCGTGCCTGAAACCAAAGCCAACTGCTTGGCCTCTTCTCTGCCCCCACCCCCTGGAAACTGAACAGACTAGGTATTCAGACTGCTGCAGGGAGACATAACCCACTCAGGTAGTGACCGACTCTGCCACCCACGTGAGGGCCGGCTGTGGCCGCTATGGACCTAACACCGGATGGAGGGATTCGGTCCAGGCGGCCTGGCCCTGGCCACGGCGAGGCACCTGCAGAGGCAAGAGGTGAAGAAATAAGCATAGAAAAGAGCCCTTCCTAGAAAGGGTCTTCCTCCTAGTCCGTGACTGAGATTGAGCTCAAACATGTATTAAGCTCCTTCTGTTTGCCAGGATCCTTACTCTCCGCGAGTCGACCATTTTTTCTCCAACTGAACTGGAAGCAGACTTCGAGCCAGGACTGTCTATTTCCTCCCAAATACCCTTCCTCTTGCTACAAAAGTAAGACACGCTTATTACAGATATTAGAGAAAATGCAGATGGGCTCAGTGAAGAAAATAAAACCACTTTTAGTCCCATCACCTGAAGATGACCACTTAAAAAAAAATTTTTTTAAGATTTTATTTTTTATTTATTTTTTTATTTAAAAAATTTTTTTCAAACATTTATTTATTTTTGAGAGAGAGAGAGAGAGGGATAAGAGTGCAAGCGGGGAAGAGGGAGACACAGAATCCAAAGCTGGCTCCAGGCTCTGAGCCATCAGCACAGAGCCCGATGCGGGGCTCGAACTCATGAACCGTGAGATCATGACCTGAGCCGAAGTCGGATGCCCAACCCACTGAGCCACCCAGGCGCCCCTAAAGATTTTACTTTTTTAAGTCATCTCTGCACCCAACATGGAGCTTGAACTCATGACCCCAAGGTCAAGAGTTGCACGCTCTTCCACCTGAGCCGGCCAGCCACCCCTGAAGACGACCACCTTTGACATTTGGAGCAGTCGGATCCCCTCCTGGGTCTCCACACCCAACGTCTTTGCTTAGACTCGCACATGCAATTGACATGTAAGAACATTTGTGTCCGATCACTTACCTGTTTATTCACTCTTCATTAATTCCAAAAGTATCCATCCAACTCTCAGTGGTTGTCAATTTCGTGGTGTTTTACATTCTTAGAAGGTGGAAGGAGAGGTACAAAAACCTAAGATACTCAGGTACTGACCATGAATTGTACTCAGCGGCCAAACCTTCCTCAGCCCCTTCTCCAGGTAAGCGGTCAAGGACTCGAATCCAACTCTGGCCGGGTCCCTCACCAGCTGTGTGACCTTTGGCAAGCCACCGACCCCATGCTACCCAAAGTGTAGTCCACACTTGCCCAGGTCCACTTTGGCTGCTGTCGACGTGCGCATCCCGTTGTGATTGGATACGTTACAATAGTACTGTTCCCGGCAGATTGGAAAATTTTCTCTAAACCTTCCTCCACCACAGATAGTTTGAGAAGCACAGAGGTAACCCACTCTGTGCCTCAGTTTCCTCAGCAGTAGGATGGGAACGATGGTGGCCCTTGACCTCAGCCGGTCCCTGGGAAGGGGAAGCGAGCCACTGATGGAAGGCTCTCAGGACCGTAGCTGGGCACTGGCACCTCTCCTTAATGTCAATGTCACTAGTATTTTTGTATATTTTCGGTATTCTGCCTTAAAAACATCCAATTTTCTGAGGGCGGCGGAAGGAGGCTTGGAAAGAGGAGTGGACCTCGATTAATGCATCTTACCCTACCCCCTAATTTCCCGAAGGAACCACTGGGCACTATATTCATCTATTTCCCAAATATCTAGAGACCACTTACAGGGTGAAGCAGGAGAGCCCAGTACGCACACAGCACCCTGGTGAGACAGCGCTGGGTTCAAACCCCTGCTCTGCTCCTTACTAGCCGAGCGGCCTCGGGCAAGTCACTTAACCACTCTGAGCCACAGCGTTCCCGTGTGAGGGCCCAGAGGGGTCAGCCCAGGCTGGGCCCTGGCAGACGATCCCCACACGCCTGTAGACAGCATGGGGACGAAGGCTGCTCCCCATGTCTGTGCTCAGATGTGACCATTGTGGTGGGGACAGCATGGGGACGAAGGCTGCTCCCCATGTCTGTGCTCAAATGTGACCGTTGTGGTGACCTCCTGGGTGCTTTGCCCTCCGTGAGTCTTTGTGGACTGAAAGAATAGTTGCTGTGTTGAGATGCCAAACTTGCCCGGTATCTCTTCTAGAAAATGGATGGATTTAAGGACGGGGAACATCTGAAAATGGAGGGATGTGGAAATACAAAAGGTCTCAGGATGAGTAGAAGCGTTGCCAATTAGACCTGTGTTGTCTGCAGCAGGGAAGCTCCCCTCACGCCCTCTCCAGAGCCTGCTGCTCTGTGCGGAGGGGGGCCTAGGCCGGGCTGAGTCACGTGACGCCTCTGGAAAGCTTCTCGAAACAGCCCGGTGTCACTCCTCCGGATTCACCAGCAGAAGCAAGTCGTGGGGGAGTGCACCCCTCGTGAGGCCTGCACGGCACATGGCAACGGGGCAGGGGTGGGTGACCCTCTCCTGGGGAAGACAGTCTTGACCCATCCACCGTCTTGGCCGCAAATACTCCTCCCTCTTGCACAGAGCTGAACGCAACCCTAGTGAGTGAGCCGGGCCCATGCCTCTCTCGACCAAGAGATCTGTAAGTTGGGGGAAAGCTTGCCGGTCTCACACGCGGTTATCAACCGAATCGTGTCTCCCCGAAATTCGCACGGAAGTCCTAGCCCCCAGCTAGGATGTAACCGGGGCTAAGGTCCTATGCGAGGTAATGAACTTGAAACGAGGCCATGGCGGTGAGTCCCGATCCAAGAGGACCGGCGTCCTTGTGAGAAGGAAAGCACGCGGAAAGACACTAGACGCCCGTGCGTGCACACAGGGAAGGGACCATGTGAAGACACAGCAAGAAGGTAGCTGCCTACCCAAGGAGAGAGAGAGAGACAGAGAGAGAGAGAGAGAGACAGAGGTCTGAGAAGACACCAACCTGCCAACGCCTTGATCTTGGACTTTCAGACTCCAGGACTGCGAGAAAGTGAATTTCTGATGAGCCACTCAGTCTGGTATTTTGTTACGGCGGCCCTCGCACACGCACCCACACTCCCGGCACTCAGTGGGGGGACAGGAACGGCACACCCACGGACACTCCCTTCTGGAAGGGCTAGGAATGGGAGGCACCACGCACAGCAATCCTGGGGCCTGCCGGGTGGACGCTGCGAGGGCCACCTCCCCCGGTGAAGGAAATGCTTTCTCGTGGGCCCCACTGCGCTCCCTTGACCCTCCGTCTGTCCCCTGTTCTCGGTGGCCCTCGGGTGGCCCTCTGGGTAGACTTCCATCACGTCCTCGGCCACGTTGAATGCAGACCCAAGGGCCCTCACTGGGGGCTAAGCCGACTTTTCCACCTGCTTTCTTTCCCGCTGGGGCCCAGATCTGGTTTTAAGTCATGAGAGCTCACGGCCTCTTTTCGTCCAGGTTGGTAGCACTTCTGATGATGCCCCCCTCCTCGGAACTTGGCTCGCTTTTTTTCCACTCGGTTCCTTATTTTATTTTATTTTATTTTATTTTATTTTATTTTATTTTATTTTTTATTTTATTATTCTCATCATTTTTTTAACGCTTACTTATTTTTTAGGGAGAGAGAAAGATACACAGGGTGTGAGTCGGGGAGCGGCAGAGAGAGGAGGCACAGACTCCGAAGCAGGTTCCAGGCTCCGAGAGCCGTCAGCACAGAGCCCGACGCGGGGCTCGAACTCACGGACCGCGAGATCACGACCTGAGCCGAAGTCGGTCGCTTCACTGCTTTGCAAACAGGCGAATTCCCTTCGGAGCGCGTCTCTTCTCCGCAACGTCTTGGAAACCGGCAGGGCACGAGTTTGGTGGGGACGGCCGCAACAAACAAAGTCCGACAGAAACGTGTCGGTCACAGTCCTGCGGGCCAGGAGTCTGAGCTGAAGGCGGCAGCAGCTTGGCTCCCTCTGAAGGCCGCGAAGGAAGGGTCTGTTCCAGGCCTCTCTCCGGCTGCTAGACGGCCACATGCTCCCCGTGTCCTCACACCGACTTTCGTCAGTATGCGTTCGGATGCCAACTCCCCCTTCTTGTGAGGACACCGGTCCTGGTGGATCAGGGCTCATCCCAATGACTCCATTTTCCCTTATTGCCTCTTGAAAGACCCTCTCTCCTGGGGCCCCTGGGTGGCTCCGTCGGTTGAGCACCTGACTCTCGATCTCGGCTCAGGTCACCATCTCGTGGTTTGTGGGTTCGAGCCCCGCATCGGGCTCCGCGCCGACAGTGCAGAGCCTGCTTGGGATTCTCTCTCTCTCCCTCTCTGTCTGCCCCTTCCCTGCTTGGGCTCTCTCTCTCTTTCAAAATAAATAAATTTAAAGGAAAATTTTAAGAGCCTCTCTCCAAATACAGTCACCTTCTGACGGTCACGCTGCGGTTAGAGCTTTAACACAGGAATTGAGGGGACGTGAGTCAGTCTGCGACATGCCGCGAGGAGCAACCAAGGCATGCCGGGCGTCGCTGTCTCCCAAGCTCTTCAGCTAAAGCTGTAAGTACAGTTGAGTATCAGCTTTGTGAGTTATAGGCGAGAATCTTCCCAAATGTTTCCTGCTGTATGATGCGGTCACCATCGGTACCTTCTTCTTTTTTTTTTTTTTAAATATAATTTATTGTCAGATTGGTTTCCATACAACACCCAGTGCTCGTCCCAACAAGTGCCCTCCTCGATGCCCATCACCCGCTTTCCCCTCTCCCCCCGCATCAACCCTCCGTCCGTTCTCAGTATCCAAGAGTCTCTTATGGTTTGCCTCCCTCCCTCTCTGTAACTTTTTCCCCCCTTCCCCTGCCCCACCATCAATACCTTCAATAACTGTCTTCTTGTCACGTGTTCCCTGCTCCTAGAGTCAGGGCTATGCGTTTGTTGGGGCCCTTTTTTCTAGGTGCCAGTTACTGTATCGGTCAGATATTGCTAGGTTATGCTGTGTAACAACCATCCCTGAAATATCAGTCGATCTCCATAGCCAAGGTTTATTTTCATTCAGGTTTCATGTTGCCCACACGTCGTCGCCATCACGGGATCCAGGTGGAAGGCGCGGCCCTTCTATGGAATACATCTACCGGAGAGAAAAGAGCTACAGAACTGGCGGAACCCCAGGCGAGCCGGTCAAGCTTCTGTGGGGCACTGGCGCGTGGTCGCTTCTGCTCACGTTTTATTGATCAGAGCAAGTCCCATGGCCGAGCCTGATGCGGATGGGCATGGAGGTATGCTCTGCCCAAAGTGGGGGGCACTGTGAGTCGCTGACCATGCGGTGGGGAGCTACAGCATTCTTAGGGCAGGGACTTACTGGGAACAACGGCACCATAGTTAACCCTGGTTAAGACTGACCCGTGTGTGGTGGGCGTCTGGGGGGGCTCAGTCGGTTGAAGGTCCGACTCTTGATTTCAGCTCACGTCAGGACCCCAGGGTCGCGGGATCGAGCCCCGCACCCGGCTCTGCGTTGGGCTCTGCGCTGAGCCCGCTTGAGATTCTCTCTCTCCCTGTCCCTCGGTGCCTCCCCTGCCTGTGTTCTCTCCACCCCCCTCTCGAAAAAATAATAATATATAAAAAAAGATTGACTACGTGTGGGGCTTTGTGCCAACAGCTTCACATCCTTAGCTCATGGGTGCATTATCATAGCCCCATTTTCCAGATAAGAAAACTCGAGAGGGAAGAGACTTGCTCATTTTCTCACTACATAAACAATCTGTGGACATACTTTGCAAAACCCTGAGGGTCGGCACACCTATGAGGTCTTAGCCCCTGCCAGGGTGCTGGGAGAGCCTGTTCCCTGGGGAGCCCCCACCCTCCCTTCCCGTCCTACTCTGCCCCGCCCACCCTACCCTGCACATCTAGGAATCCTGCCAGAGCCCCAGAGGGCTGAGGCGGGGCGGGGGGTCGCCGTGAATGAACTGCTCCTCTGGGAAGGAAGGAGAGCTGGACAAGCTCCATTCTGGAAGCCCGTGTGCTTCCAGAGGATCACCCTCTGGCAGAAGTTCCTTCCCGCTCCGGGTGCCCGGCGGCTTGAGAATTTTCTGGTCTGCTTGCTTGTTCCTTTGCTCGTATGGGGGGGGAGGAGAAGCTCAAACGATCTTATGACCTTATAATTATTGTCTTTGTTTTGCAGACGGGGGGACCGGGGCCCAGAGAGGTTACAGCAACTTCCCACAGACAGTGGTGAGGGACCCAGGACCCAAACCCCGCTGGAGGAAGTAGATGAGGCCCGAACGCGAGGCCCACAGGGGCCCTGCGTTCAAGGGGGCTGTGGGGTGGGGTCGCCTGGGGAGCTGCTTAGAGAACGGAGTGTCTTCTGGGGCTGTCCTTGGGCTGTCCTTGGGCTTTCCCAAGTCACCCAGATTGACAGGCCTGTCCTTCCGGGACGGGGAAGACGGAGGTGTCACAGTGATTCTTGGGGGCAAGGACATGGGCCAGGGGCCGAGATAGTGGGAGAGAGCACCTGGCAGGGGCGGGGGGCACAGAGGATGGTGTGACAAGGGCACCCCCAACATACACAGGACACACACACACCACACAGCACATTCACACGTTCCGTGCCCATCACACACATAAATACAACACACACCACATACTGCATTCACACACATAACCCACACACACATCCCACACGGCGCACACACACCATGGGCTTTTCCCTGGTTTTGAGACCGAGCTTGGAGAAGGTCTTTAACGACCTTAGATTTTTGAAAATGCTGTTATTAGGAATAGTGGTTTAAAAAGGAATAAAATGAAACAAATAACCCAGTGAAGAAATGGGCAAAAGACATGAACAGACACTTCTCCGAAGAAGACCTCCAGGTGGCCAACTGACACATGAAAACATGCTCAACATCATTCATCCTCAGGGAAATGCAAATCAAAACCACAATGAGATGCCACCTGACCCCTGTCAGAATGGCAAACATTGACAACTCAGGCAACAACAGATGTTGGCGAGGATGTGGAGAAAGAGGGTCTCTTTTGCATTGTTGGTGGGAATGCAAGCTGGGGCAGCCACTCAGGAAAACAGTATGGAGGTTCCTCAAAAAACTAAAAAGAGAACTACCCTACGACCCAGCAATTGCACTACTAGGCATTTATCCAAGGGAGACAGGTGTGCTGTTTCGAAGGGACGCATGCACCCCCATGTTTATAGCAGCACTCTCGACAATAGCCAAAGGATGGAAAGAGCCCGAATGTCCATCGATGGATGAATGGATAAGAAGAGGTGGTCTATATATACCATGGAGTATTACTCGGCCAAGAAAAAGAATGAAATCTTGCCATTTGCAACTACGTGGATGGAACTGGAGGGTATTATGTTAAGTGAAATTAGAGAGTCAGAGAAAGACAAAAATCATATGACTTTACTCATATGAGGACTTTAAGAGACAAAACAGATGAACATAAGGGAAGGGAAGCAAAAATAATATAGAAACAGGGAGGGGGACAAAACGGAAGAGACTCTTAAATATGGAGAACAAACCGAGGGTGGCTGGAGGGATTGTGGGTGGGGGGGATGGGCCAGATGGGCAAGGGGCATTAAGGAGGGCACTTGTTGGGATGAGCACTGGGTGTTATACGTAGGGCATGAATCTGGATTCTACTCCTGAAATCATTATTGCGCTATACGCTAAGAACTTGGATGTAAATGATAAATAAATAAGTAAACAAACAAACAAACAAACAAACAAAGCGATAGCAAAACTTCACGAGACCTTGCGTGTCAGGGAACCTGCCGAAGGCTTTGCGCAGACCCTTCCCTGAGTCCTCAGGACCATCCTGTGAAACAGGTGCTGTTGTTGTCCCCATTTTTATTTATTTGTTTGTTTTACTATTTATTTTATTTTATTTTATTTATTTTGTTGTTGTTGTTATTGTCCCCATTTTAATGGTGGGGACACTGAGGCTCCGAGGTCTCAGAGCTTGAAACTGATGGAGCTGTCACAGTCACCGTCGGCCGTCTCCCCAAACCGCACGGCGAATGTTCCCGGGGGGTGGTGCGCAAACCACAAAACTGAGAACCAAAACCCCACCTCGCTCAGGACAGAGCTCTGGGCTT